TAAATAGATTTATTCATAAGGTTCTATTAAAATTAGCCTTAACATTAATAGCATACTATACAAATGTTAAAATTTGGTTTTATCTATTGAACAAAATTTTCACGTAATATTAATAATAGATAATAAAAGCTTGTTGCTTCTTTCGAGTAAACTGCAGAAAAATGGAAAAAGAAAAAGAGAGATTTAGTTGGCCTCATGCTGCCTTTATTAGGTTTTATTATTTGGGAAACTGAGTCTTCACTCTACCAAAAAATAAAGGTTTTCATTTTTTTGAAGTCTTTGAATTATCATTTTGACTTGATGAATGACGTGTGTTCCTATTTTGGAATATCAAGTGTTTTAGACTTCCGATATCTGACAAACTTGCAAAGCAAAAATTTCAAGTTCTAAATTCAGGTTTTTTACTTCAAACTAACTTTTTAAATATTAAGTTCTCTCAAAGTCCAAGAGAGACATTTACGCTTATTTGATTTGTTAAAATTGTACAGAAAACATTGTCAAATATGAGGTTGTGTTTAACTTTCTCTGGGTTATATTTATATAAATATGTTATTAATGTGTTCCAAAGTTGTAGGAGATTCCTAAACTTCTAATATGTCATCTTAGTATATGTTATCAGTAATTGCAATAATGATTATTATGTTAAACTGTTGTATGACACAGAAATAACCAAATTTCTTTTTCAACTGCGTTTTTAACTGTGGCTGTCCTAACACTTTGTCATCCACAATTATTACTTCATTTTGATTCTTCTCAAAAAGCAGCTTATAATCAGCTACAGTCCAAAGCTTACTTCTTGTTCTTAGAAAATTTTTTACACATGAACAGAGTAAAGCTGATCTAGATTTCTGAAAACCGACACCATTTCTGGATTAGGAAATTACCAAAGAATTAAAAATGGTCACAGTAGCTCTATGGACAAAAGAATGTGTAAACATTGGTAGTTTAATTATAGCAGGGTCATTGATAGTTCCTGGACGATTATTATAATGGGTTGGCTAGTATATCTCCAAAATCTGTGTCCACCCAGAACTTCAAGATGTGACCTTATTTGGAAATAGAGTCATTTTAGGTGGGCCCTAAATCTGATAACTGATCCCTTATAAGAAGAAGAGAGGACATACAGAGATGCAGAGAGCAGAACGCCATGTGCTGCTGAAGGAGGAAATTGCAGTAATGCAGCTACAAGCAAGCCATGCCAAGCATTGCCAACAACCACCAAAAGTGAGGTGAAAGGCATGGAATTCTCTGTCAGAACCTCCAAAAAAGAACCAGCTCAGCTAACGCTTTGATTTTGGACTTCTAGCCTCAAAAACCATGAGAGAATAATTTTGATTTTTTGTTTTTGTTTTTGTTTTGAGACGGAGTCTCGCTTTGTCGCCCAGGCTGGATTACAGTGGTGCAGTCTCTGCTCACTGCAACCACCGCCTCTGGGGTTCAAGTGATTCTCCTGCCTCAGCCTTCTGAGTAGCTAAAATTACAGGTGCCTGCCACCATGCCCGGCTAATTTTTGTTTTTTTAGTACAGACAGGGTTTCACCACGTTGGCCAGGCTGGTCTCAAACTCCTGACCTCAGGTAATCCACCTGCCTCAGCCTCCCAAAGTGCCAGGATTGCAGGCATGAGCCACCACATCTGGCCTGTTTTTGTTTTTTTTTAAAAAACAACTTACTTCTTTAGAGGATTTCAAGAAAAAGACTATTGAATATAGATTTCTGCTAACTTTGGCAATTATGCCATTGAACTAAAAAATGAAATGTCCAGGACTATAATTACAAAGCTGTTTTTATCCATGAAGATTGTTAACCCAAAATGAAGCAAAACAAGAGTTAATTGCATGCAATGAACTATTAGAAGACTGAAATAATTTTTGTGGCTTTTTTGTTTCAAACATCGTTAATTCTTTTCGTTTTGCTTTTCAGAGTCAGGATAAATTCCTTTTTTTTTTTTGTAGCTAATTTAGCCTTGTAAACAAAACCTGATGCATATTTCTCTGTCTCTACTTGAATTCTCCAGAATTCAGAAACTATTTCTGAATATTCTTAATCTGTGGCAATATAGCTATTTGCCTAATTTCAGTAAGAATCTGTTTTCTTTTATTATAACAGGACACAACTGGAGGCACATGATGTTTCAACAAGCCAGATGCCAGTCAGGTACTCACAAGAACTTCCATTTACAGGGGTAACATTTTCATTCCTCATCATCATCCCATAATACCCCCTATTCAGCATGAAGCAGCCAAAAGAAACGGCCAGTAGATTCCCCATGACTGAGGAATTGATAAATAGGAAGCAGGGACTAAAACTGCCTCAATTGTCTCACGGAAGTAATATTTACAGTTTTTTGAATAAACACAGAAATTGATTGTCCCTGGTCTTAACACTTCAAACTTACATTTGTCTCATCTGAGTTCCTTCCTCAGGAGATGAACTGAATCTCATCATATCACTGCATCCAGACAATGAGACACCAGACCCTTCATCCGTGATAACTGCTTCCTTACCCCTCCCTAATTCCTGTTTTCCCTCCTTCTCCACTATACAAACCTCCCAATTTTAGTCAGAGAGATAGATTTGAGACTCACTCCTGTTCTTCTTGGTTGCAGCACCCAATTGAAGCCTTCTTCCCTGACAACACTCATTTCAGGGATGGGTTTTCTGTGTGATGAGCTGCAGGACCTAGACCAAACCTCTGGTGTTTTGTAACAACATTTGAGAACAGCATACAATTTAAAACTTATGAATTGTTTATTTCCGGAGTTTTTCATGTAATATTTCAGACCACGATTGCTCACGGGTAACTGAAACCATGGAAAATGAAACCACAGATAAAGGCAGACTACTTTAGTCAGAGGTTTTCCCAAGTTTTTAGCTGAGAGCGCTGTCTTCCAGTAAAGGCTAATGTAAACAGCCACTATGCCTAACAAATAACCCTCTGGACAAAGCTGGAATCCGGGTTGGGGGCTGGAGAGGGGGCCTCATTGCCCTCTCTTTGCACCAGAGAAATAAAGGACAGAACATGCCACCCCACACTATGTCTTTTGGCAAAATAATTATTTTGAGCTGATTATTTCAAGAAATTGCAGACACAAGAGAAGTTCTGAAGTCTGAGTACAAGTTACACTTCTGTAAGAGAAAATTACATCCATAAATGAAATCTTCATTCATAAAGGTGTCTCCCTCGCTGTACCAAGAAAAGAAAAAGGACTAAATCACTAGAGTCAGATATCACAGTGAAGGTACTGACCTAAATCTGCATGACAAAACTTACCCTGTTGACTGTGCTCCGCTGGATATCTCTCCAAGGCTAGCCTTCCCCAAACCAATCCTCCTTAGTTTTCAGTGAACAGTAGTATTCAAGCATGAATTCAAAGTAATCTTTTAGATATCCTCATTTCTCTGCCTATCTCCCATGTATATTTAAAATATACATGTTACTTACATACATGTAAACTTCTATTTGTTTTTCTCTTGCTTATCTGCCTTTTGTTACAGGGATCTGTCTAACTAAGAACTCAGAGGGGTAAAGAAAAAAATTATTTTTCCTCCCCTAAAGTTTCAAACCATTGACTTAGCCTGGGGAAGACAGGAAACATTTTAGGCTGTGGGATTAAATAGTTCAAGCTTAAATCTGTTGGAACTTTAAATTATCCTGAGTCTTGACTGTGTCTCTATAACTTGAGTCACATGACATCCAGCTGCAAATTCTGCCTTTTGTTCCTGTAAATAATTTAAAAATCCAAGCAGTGCCAGAGATAAGACCCTCTCAGATCATTACCCCTCCTCAAAGAGTAATAAAGTAATCTCTACTGGAATGTGGCAATCTGTAAACAATCAAATTGTCATGGCATGTGTACCTGATCTTATATGGAGAACATAACCCTGCTGGAACTTCCTGGTCTTTGCCCATATAATTGAAACTTTAGCTTCCCCATTTACCAAAGGCTGACCCTATTTGTCTGGAGTCTGTGCTTTTATGGGTTGCCATTCCCAAGGCTTGCACTCAAATAAACTCTATAAACTCATCTTTTCTGAATCTCATTATTTAAGATCAACATTCTGGCAACCTCTGACTACAGTAGCCTGCCTTTATCTGTGGTTGCTCTTTCTATGGTTTCAGTTACCCACAGTCAATTGTGGTCAGAAAACAGTAAATGAAAAATTCCAGGAACGAATAACGCATATGTTTTAAGTTACACATAGTTCTGAGTAGCATGATGAAATCTTGTCACCAAAACACCAAGAGCGTGGTCTAGATCCTGTTTCTTGCCACACAGAATGCCAGTCACTGAGATAAATGTTGCCCAGGAAGAAGGCTTTAATTAGGTACAGCAGCCCTTCAGTGATCCCTGTCACTTCACCGACAGGTGGAGCACTGGGACTATCAGAAGCATTCCAACCAGAGCAACTCTACCTGGAATAAGAGAGGGATAAAATGAGGCTGAGATGTGCTAGCTGCATTCCCAGAAGGTTAGGCATTCTTAGTCACAGGATGAGACAGGAGGTTGACACAAGATACAGGTCACAAAGACCTTGCTGATAAAACAGGTTGCAGTAAAGTAGCCAGCCAAAACCTGTCAAAACCAAGATGGTGACTAAAGTGACCTCTGGTCAGCCTCACTGCTCATTATACACTAATTATAATACATTAGCATGGTAAAAAAAAAAACTCCCACCAGTGCCACAACAGTTTATAAATGCCATGGCAATGTCTGCAAGTTACCCTTTATAGTCTAAGAAGGGGAGAAAACCTCAGTTCCAGGAACTCTCTGCTCTTTTCCTGAAAAATTCATAAATGATCTACCCCTTGTTTAGCATATAATCAAGAAGTAACCATAAAAATAGCCAACCAGTAGCCCCAAGGGCTGCTCTGTCTGTGGAGTAGCCTTTTGTTTCTTTACTTCTCTAATAAACTCGCTTTCACTTTACTCTGTGGACCCACCCCAAATTCTCTCTTTCATGAGATGGAAGAACCCTCTCTTGGGGTCTGGATCAGGACCACTTTCTGGTAACAGTACCAGCACAAATGGTTTTCGTTCGCCCAATTTCGCAAGAGCCAGTGGAGATCTCTGGTATGGTCTCTCTCAGTCCAAATCATCCCAGCCTCGGCTGCAGATTCAGACTATTTGAGATACACACATTTCTAACTCAACAAAGTTGGAATTGAAGCTCTACCTCAAGGTAGGAGTTTCATTTGTTATTCTCTAGAGATTCTGCTAATCACGAATTTGTGAGTTTTACTTTTCTCTGAGATTAAGGGGTTGTTTTGGAATTATTCATTTGAGATTCTGATTTTCAACCTTTTCTCTTATTCAAAATTTTAGTAGGGGAGCAAACAGATTCTCTCTGGAAAGAGGAAGTAAATCTTTGTGGCTTAAGAAAAAAAAAAAGTGTCATTTTTAAAGCTGGCCAGATTCTAAAGCTTTGTTCAATTGATAAATCTACACAAGAAGAGGCCAAATAAGACACTGTTTCTCCAAACCAAAAGAACCAAAAGGTACCTTAGGTGGCTAAGGTCTTGTGGGAATGTTGGAGATAATCACTTACAATGTGAACAGTCTCATAGAAGTCTTTTAAGAACATAGAGGGAGCCTTGCTTACCCCAGTGGACATGCAGAAAGGCTGGTCATCTAAGCACCAATTTTCTTGGAACCACCAAGACATGTAAAAGGGAAGCACCCACTCAAGGTTGACATTTGAGGAGCTATTCCTATAGATTGCACACTCGATTCAAAACAAAATCCCATTAGATACTTTTGGCTCATGCAAAAGGAAGATCTAAATTATAGGTGACTATACTTCTAAAACTGAGTCTTCCTCCTTAAGGAGAGATTCACCTTTAGAAACACCAACTGGATTTATGTTTAATACTTACAGCTTGGGAGGCCAATGCAGGTGGATCAGGAGGTCAGGATTTCGAGACCAGCCTGGCCAATATTGTAAAGCCCCATCTCTAATAAAAATACAAAAATTAGCCAGGCAAGGTGGCACATGCCTGTACTCCCAGCTACTCAGGAGGCTGAGGCAGAAAAATCACTTGAACCTGGGAGGTGGAGGTTGCAGTGAGCTGAGATTGTGCCACTGCATTCCAGACTGGGCAACAGAGCGAGACTCCATCTTGAAACAACAACAAAAAAATGCTTACAGTATTTCTTCATGCAAATATTTAGAAAAACAGTCTCAGATAACTCCTAGAGACCCAAAATTACAATGGTCCACATGGAGTACCTTTGAAATACCTAGGCTAGTTCATCAGCACAGTCGATTAGAAAAAGCCGCTCTAAAATAAAACAAAATAACCGGGATGGTACTTATTTTCAGTGGTACTTAGAAGTTTTTAGGGTGGGTCTAATAGTCATTTCTTTGCAAGTGGAAAACCAAAGATTGTCTAAAACACTTTCTGAATTGAAAAAGTCTGCCAAAATTTTTCTTCCTTCTTCAACTTTTCTTTTCTTTTGCCAAAACTTCATTGTCTGAATTTACCTCCCTTTCCTCCTCTACTTTCTGTTGTTCTGGCTCCATTCTGGGATATTTTGTGTCTGGTAGAGGAGAACCTGACTTGGTTGTTGATTATGGTCAAAAATGGAACTTAAAGCCATTAAGAATTCCTGTACCCCCTTTGGAACTCCATTGGTTTTGCTAAAGAATTTGAACTAAATATTTGAACTTATGACTCTGGCTAGATTTTCTGACATATACCAATTGGTTCACATGTTAATATCAGAAAGAAAAGCCAAGACTAGATAGCAAAGGCAAACTGCAGGACTACTGTAGAGGACTTGCATACATTTTCTGAAGCAGATCGTGAATGAGCCTGCAGTACTGCCAAATCTTTACTAGACACTCTCCCCTTAGTTTTCAAAAAAGTAGTTGATTGGAGTAAAATACAGCAATGCCAACAAAATTTTGATGAGCCTGTAAAGTCATACTATGAGAAATTTGAAAAAGTATTTCAACAATATTCAGGCCCATCAGAAGAAAGTTATACTAATCACCAAAATGATATTCTCCTTAACTCAAACTTTACAAATGGATTAGATGAAGAACTGGGAGTTATAATAAAGAGGCAAAACCTTGGTTGAGCTACCTTTCAAACTCATGATCTAGTTAATCTTGCTGACCAAGTGTCTTATATGCTAACTGATATGGACAGGAGACAAGGAAATACTGTGAAGAGGGTGGTTCCCTGGCAAAGGTCCCACCCTCAAACTAGGAAACCCACAGTGTGAAATGGGAACAGGCATTCCTGTTTCTGCACCCAAAAGTTGTCTTCTGGCCTGCCATGCCACCCTACCGTGTACTCATATAAACCCCAAAACCTCACGTTCCACGAGAAGATGAGCAGACAAGGAGATGAACAGAAAAACAGAAGAATGGCATAACAATACAGCAGAGAGGAGAAAGAGAGGAGTCTGACTGGGGACATTTAGAGAAGATGATCTTCCCACTCCATCTCCCTTCTAGCACCCCATCCATCCTGCTGAGAGCCACCTCCACCACTCAATAAAACCCCTGCATTCATCCTTCAAGTCTGTGTGTGACCTGATTCTTCCTGGATTCTGGACAAAAACCTGGGTACAAAGAGGGTACTGAGCTGGTTAACACTGTCCATGGATGGCAGAGCTAAGGGAGCACACTGTAACACATGCCCACTTGTGCTTCAGGAGCCTCAGGCACCCACTCCCAGATGCTGCCCTGGGGCCAGAGCCCAGGGGCACTCACTGCCCATCTGCATGCTTTCAATCCCCTAAGAAGGTTTGAGTGTGCATGGTGGCCGAACAGATGAGTCACACGTCCAGCAAGGGCGGTCAGAGAGTTCACCCATTTTCATAGCCAAGGAAGAAAGAGAAAAGGAAATTAAACAGGGAGGAAAAAGAAATAAGATCATGAGTTTACAATTTAAACAATTGTCCAAAAAATTTGTAATCCATAATCAGCCTAATGAAGTCCAAAACCAACTCAATTCCCTGCAAGTACAGCAAAAGCCTGGATATTTCTTTAAAAAAAAAAAATTAAAATGGAAAGAACAGCCACAGGCCAGAGAAAAGGAATAGGTTGCTTTGAGAAGTCCAAGTGACCATTTCTTTTCTCCTCATTAATACCTTAGGGGAAATTATACCTTGATTCTGGTGGTATGTGGTGTCAGCCACCATGAAAATAGAGTTATACTACAATTTAAAGCACTTGTGACAATCTTACGGAAAAACGTTAGAGATGTTTTAAAGAAAAATTGCAGGATTTCTATGTATGCACCTACTTTAGGAATTAAGACAAAGAACGGTGCCCTTTGGAGGCAAACAGCTCTGTTTCAACCACCTTCTGCCACGAAGCCCATCTGGGCTTTTGTAATAAATAATCCACAGCGAATGAGTTATCCCTACCTTCAAGGCTGGTAACGCTTCTGCCATTCAGACTTCTGAGGAGAGGGAGCACCTCTGGGATGTGTAAATTGTCCGTTAAGGAAGTGTTTCCAGAGGGAGTGGAGAGGAGGAAGAAACCAGGCATGGGTGTCATTCCAAGTGAAGTTCCCTCCTCAGCGTGACGCCAGGGGGCGCTCTGAAGTGGGACTTTCCCAACCGTGTATCCCACCTCAAGACAAAGGAGTGGGGCTTTCACACAGAGCTGGGCTCTGTGTATTGATGAGAGGAACATCAATACACAGAGCCCACCTCTCATCAATACAGAGTTCCTCTCATCAATACACAGAGCTCAGCTCCTCCCGGCCCCTACAGGACTCTTATAAATGGTTACTTAATTGCCAGGAGCCACAGGTAAAGCTGACATCCTGGATGAAGGTTCAAAGGAGGCGGGTGTACCTTGGGCTGGTTAAGCTCAAAGGGTATTCTTTCAAAAACTGCCTAGAAATATTGTAAGCCAAGAACAAGCCACAGAGTACACTAAATCTTAACCGGAATGACTGCAGCTGCGTAGCTGACAGGTGGGAAATCTTTTCATTGCAAGGAAGGGCAAACTGCTTAAACTAGCTGAAGTTGACATTTGTTTTATTTTGTTTTGTTTTAATTAGGATCCTTTGTATGCCACAGAACCCAGCAGCAGTATGTCCAGCTGCATTTCAAAGCAATGGAAAACCGTAAGGAGCCAAAAATCACAATAACTTACTGTTAGCTACTGCTACAATAATGCTGCATGACAACAAAATCTCACTGGCATAGAACAAAAAGCCTTCCCTTCTTACACAGCTGCAGGTTGTCTGGGTAGCTCTGGGCACGGCTCACTTGTCTTCTGGTTGACCACCTACGTGCCTACAAATTTCTTTCAGCAGGGTCTCGCAGCTTCTCCATGCTTCGCTACTAATGGCCAGCACGTGTTCCCTTCTTCAGTGATTGCCCTGGCACTAATTACTAAGGGTGTGGGAGTGTGAAAGCCCCACTCCTGTCTTGAGACACACGGTTGGGAAAGTCCCACTTCAGAGCGCCCCCTGGCGTCACGCTGAGGAGGGGACTTCACTTGGAATGACACCCATGCCTGGTTTCTTCCTCCTCTCCACTCCTTCTGGAAACACTTCCTTAACGGACAATTTACACATCCCAACTCCACGCCTACTTTTGGAGAACCCAGCAGAAGACATATGGCAGAGGATGTGGATTGTAAACAAAAAAGCCTCATGAAGGAAGGAAAGGAGAAAACTTTATTTTCAGAGGGAGAAATAATCTGCAGATTGGGGAACGCCACCTCCAAGGAAAACTGAAAGTACATGCTCCACAGAAGGGAAAAGAAAGCTGGTATTCATGCACTGCAGGGTTAGCCTTACATACATATTCAGCAGGTTTGGAGGAAATCTATGAATATTCATGAGGGAAGTTAGGAGTGTGTGCAGTGAGTAAACATATATGCAATGTACATTTCATCTTCACCTTGAGGTGAAGTTTTAGCATGAAAGTGAGGTGAAAATTGACTCTTTAAGTCAAAAGGTAAACTATAGAGCACAAAGACAACTTGTGCACAGACTCTATGAGCAGGCCTGAGGGCTGGGACTACCAAGAAAGAAAGGTCAGTTCTCTGTTGTCCAATCTGGAAAAGGGCCTCCCCTGAAACACTCTCAGTTTTTGCTTCTCACTAACTTTGACTTCCCTGTGGCTCTGCCTTACCATGTGTAAAAGTAGAAAAAGCCCAATATTCTGGTCTGGTCATCTTGAACCCCCCACCCTCACCAAACCACTTCGTAATAGTAAACTACTTATAAGGGAACATTCTGCTTTCCCTTAATATGGTATTGCTAATATTTTGTTAGCTATAAGAATTTTGTGTTAAAGAAATCTGTATATAAAACCTTGGCTCCCAGGCCTGATGTTGGTGGTTCATGACTGTAATCCCAGCACTTTGAGAGCCTGAGGCGGGAGGATTGCTTGAGCTCAGGAGTTCAAGACTAGCCTGGGCAACATGGCAAAACCCCATCTCAACAAAAAATGCAAAAATTAGCCAGGTGTGGCAGCATGTTCCCGTGTAGTCCCAGCTACTTGGAAGGCTGAGATGGAAAGATTGCTTGAGCCTGGGAGGTGGAGGTTTTAGTAAGCCAAGATCACACCACTGCACACTGCACACCAGGCTGGGTGACAGAGTAAGACCCCATTTCAAAAACAAAATCAAAAACGGAAAACAAAACCTTGGCTTCCTGACACAGAGTGAGCACAGAACTTCCTAACTGCACCTGTACACCTGGGGGGCTGACCAGGATGGTGAGGGCCAGTCATCTGGGTGCTGCCACCCCTTTCTATGCCCCTCTCAGCTGTACGGGCATCACCGGCTGCACTCTGGGGACTCCTCTTTTCCTTTACTGAGCTATAACTCTATGAATTCCAGCTTCTCAATGCTTACCTGGTAATCCTGGTGTGGCAGCAACAGATTTTTCCCACTTTTATCTGACCCTGGGATCCCTGAGCATCTATCTTTAGATTTGATAAGACCCAAATTTAAGAAAAAGTACAAGCTTTAGCTAAGGATGCTGCTCCACCAAAACCCCAAATGCTGATTCCAACCTTGACACTGACCTTGCAGCTTGGCCTCACAGCAACTGAATCCTTTACTCAATGTCTTTAGTCCACAGTCCTAGGAGAGAGTTCTGATTAATTCCCTTTGTGTTAAATACACGACCTTAGTCCAATCTGCTGTGAGTGGGGATGGGACTGCCAGATTCACATATGACTCCCTGGGTCCACCCATAGGGGCTGGAAGTGAAGCTGAGCCTTTAAGGAGGGGTGTGTGTGGGGAGAATGGCTGGTGTTGCTAGAACAACCAATATAGCTACTGAGGAAGAGATTGTGCCTCCTTTTCGATAGACATTGTTCTCGCCTCACGCCAACCCCATCCATATTTCCTTCAATACTCAGCTGTGTGCTCCATCCTGCAGACTGCCTACGTTCAAGTCTCAGCTGCCTCACGTACTAGCCAGGTGACTTCAAGGAAGGTGCTTAACAAATTGGGCACCAACTTCCTTACCTAGAACACAGCTAGTGAGAATTCCTGCCTCAGAGGTTGCCTGTGACACATGGTAACACTGGCAGCAGTTGGAGGTGGTGGAAGTAAAGGATAGTCCCAAGTTTGACTCCACCATCCAGGTATGTATTGAGGACATAAGTTCTTTCCATCTTCCACTCAGGAGCTTGACTTTGTGTGTGTGTGTGTTAATTTTAAGTTCAGGGATACATGTGCAGAACCTGCAGGTTTATTACAAAAGTATACATGTACCATGGTGGTTTGCTGCACCTATCAACCCGTCATCTAGGTTTTAAGCTCTGCATGCATCAGGTATTTGTCCTAATGCTCTCCCTCCCCTCACCCCCCACCCCCCAACAGGCCCCAATGTGTGATGCACCCCTCCCTGTATCCATGTGTTCTCATTGTTCAACTCCCACTTATGAGTGAGAACATGCAATGTTTGGTCTTCTGTTCCTGTGTTAGTTTGCTGAGGATGATGGCTTCCAGCTTCATACATGTCTGTGCAAAACACTCCTCAGCAAATGCAAAAAAACCGAAACCATAACAAACATCTCTCAGACCACAGTGCAATCAAATTAGAACTCAGGATTAAGAAACTCACTCAAAACCACGTAATTACATGGAAATGGAACAGCCTGCTCCTGAATGACTCCTGGGTAAATAATGAAATTAGGACAGAAATCAAGAAGTTCTGTGGCCAAGAAACTTGGAAAAAAAGCTACGAAAAAAAGCCCAGCATCACTCATCATTAGAGAAATGCAAATCAAAACCACAGTGAGATACCATCTCACACCAGTCAGAATGGCCATTATTTAAAAAGTCAAGAAATGGCTGGGCATGGTGGCTCATGCCTGTAATCCCAGCATTTTGGGAGGTGGAGGAGAACAAGTCACAAGGTCAGGAGA